GTGGACTGATTGAGTCCAGGCGTTCAAGATCAACTTGTGCAACATGGTGAAATCCTGTCTCTACAAAAAATTAGCCAGGCGTGGTGGCTCGGGCCTGTGGTCCCAGCTACTTGGGGGGCTGAGGTGGGAGGATCACTTGAGCCCATGAGGTAGAGGTTGCATTGAGCTGAGATAGCACCACTGCACTCTAGCCTGGGTGACAGAGTGAGATCCTGTCTCAAATTAAAAAAAAAAAAAAAAAAGAGAGAGAGAGAGAGATTATGAGCAGCACAAATGAGCTCCCGGGACCCTCCTACCATCACCACTCCTTTTTCCTCTCAGCTTGTCTTTTTTTCTTTTTCTTTTTCTATTTTTTTGAGATGGAGCCTTGCTCTGTCACCCAGGCTGGAGTGCAGTGGCATGATCTCAGCTCACTGAAACCTTTGACTCCCTGGTTCAAACAATTCTTCTGACTCAGCCTCCCGAGTAGCTGGGACTCCAGGTGCGCACCACCATGCCCGGCTAATTTTTGTATTTTTAGTAGAGATGGGTTTTCACCATGTTGGTCAGGACGGTCTTGAATCCCGACCTCATGATCCGCCTGCCTCAGCCTCCCAAAGTGCTGGGATTACTGGCGTGAGCCACCGCGCCTGGCCTCAGCTTGTCTTTCTACCCTAGAAATCCTGGAGAGTGGACCACAATGTAGCATGGAGCCAATGATGGGCCTGTCTTTTTATTTAACCTATGACTTTACATGTAAATCAATGTCTGATTCTGTTTCTCTAGGCCAGTTCATGCAGGAGCCAAAGATACACATCTTCAATGAGAGACCAGGAAAGGACCCCAAGAAGCCAGAGGCCAGCATGGAAGTGAAAGGACAGAAGCTGATTGTCACCAGGTAGGCCTCGAGTGCAAGGACAGTGACGAGAAGGGCTCGTGTTAGAATTGCACCCACACAGCAAAACAGAGGAGCAAGAAGCATTGTAAGCACTACCTACATCACACTAAACAATTCATTAGGAATAGACACACACACAACACTTGCATAAAGACACTTCCGATACCGCACCTTAGATGCAAACAATGACTGAGCATCTGGGTGTCATGCAATGCCAAGATTCATCTGTTGTTCTCCTCTTCATACATTAGAAGCCCTTACGAGGACTTCACGGATTGGATAATTGGACACATTGATCAAAGGAGAGAATCATAAAAACACCTGTTACCACAGTGCTGTGGAATGAACGTAGATTTTTACATCAGGGTAGAGCCTGCCTTTTGCACACAGATCTCTGACTGCTTTTTTCGTAGCTTTTCCTACGTATACCACCCCCATATGCTTCATCTGAAGTGAGAACTGAGAAACTTGTAATGAATTCAGAGTGTAAAAGTCTTACAAATCTTCATATTTTTTCCCAGTTCTTTACAGTTGTCTCGCCCATGCCGAATTTGATCTCATCTTAAAGCAGTTTATCCCTTTTTAGAAGTTTTTTTTTTTTGAGACACAGTCTTGCTCTGTCACCAGGCTGGAGTGCAGCTGTGTGATCTCGGCTCACTACAACCTCTCTCTCCCCAAGTTCAATCGATTCTCCCACCTCAGCCTCCTAAGTAGTTGGGACTAAAGGCATGCACCACCACACCCGGCTAATTTTTGTATTTTTAGTAGGGACAGGGTTTCACCACGTTGGCCAGGATGGTCTCGATCTCCTGACCTTGCAATCTGCCCACCTCGGCCTCCCAAAGTGCTGGGATTACAGGCATGAGCCACTGCGTCCGGCCCCCTTTTTAGAGTTTTTACAAAGCAGCCAACTTTGCTTTATTAGAAAGGATTCTTCATGCACACAAATGTCATTGGCTTTGACATACTTAATTAAACCATAACATTACAATGATAAACCATAAAATCATAGTAGGAAGTACTGCCATGAAAGTAGATTTGTGAACTAAAACAATAGATTCTTGGTATCGGTTTACAGAAGGAACGAGGTACCAGTGGGTATCAGTGAGCATGTGTCACAGAAGCAATGGTGAGCACAAACTAATAATGTTAAGTTATCTGAAGCTGGTAAAAGAGCATTTACTGCCAGGCATGGTGGCTTATGCCTGTAATCCCAATGCTTTGAGAGGCCAATATGGGAGGATCACTTGAAGCTAGGAGTTCAAGACCAGACTGGGTAGGATGCCATCTCTACAAAATAAATAAATAAAAATAATTAGCCAGGTGTAGTAGATTCTGCCTGTAGCCCCAGCTACTTGGGAGGCTCAGGTGAGAGGATCTTTGAGCTCAGGAGTTCAAGGCTGAAGTGAGTTATGGTTAGGCCACTGCACTCCAGCCTGGGTGACAGAGTGAGACCTGTTTTATAAATAAATACATAATATATAAATAGACCAGGCGTAGGAGTTCAAGGTCAGGAGTTCGAGACCAGCCTGGCCAACATGGTGAAAACCCATCTCCACTAAAAATACAAAAATTAGCTGTGCATGGAGGCACATGCCTGTAATCCCAGCTACTCGGGAGACTGAGACAGAAGAATTGCTTGAACCTGGGAGGCAGAGGTTGCAGTGAGCTGAGATTGCGCCAGTGCACTCCAGCTTGGCCACAGAGCAAGACTCCGACTCCGTCTCAAAAAAAAAAAAAAAAAAAAAAAATATATATATATATATATATATATATGTATAAATGCATTTACTATAGTGACAAAAAGTAAATGACGGGCCTCTATTTGATCTACCACAAGCTCCTTGCAGTTTGCAACTGAAACTGAGCTGTCCTGTGGGCTGGGGACAGTGATACACTTACAAGGCTCATTCATGCAACGTGCCAGATCCTTTACAAATTGTTGGCTTCTTTGCCCTTCAAGTGGAGGGCATGAATCCGCTCAGAAACAGCAGGTATCACCCTTAAACACACAGAAAGTGCAGTTAAGGGGCACCTCCAATGCATTTTTTTTTCAAGAGAGTCTTGATCTGTCGCCCAGGCTGGAGTGCAGTGGCATGATCTTGGCTCACTGCAACCTCCACCTCAGCCTCAGAGAATTGTTCAAGTGATTCTCATGCCTCAGCCTCCCAAGTAGTTGGACTACAGGCGTATGCCACCACACCCAGCTAACATTTTTTAATTATTATTTCTAGTAGAGAGAGGGTTTCACCATGTTGGCTAGGCTGGTCTTGAACTTCTGGCCTTAAGTGATCCGCCTGCCTCGGCCTCCCAAAGCACTGGGATTACAGGCATGAGCCATCCCGCCTAGCCACCAACTCATTCATTAAGTGACCTGTGAAGTCAGCCCCAACACTGTGGAGTCTTTGGTCTTGTTCCTGCCTTCTTTCCATTGGCTACAGTTTTCCTTGCTGGAAAAGTCCATATGGGTCAACTCTAAGGGTTCTTTGAGTTCTCAAAGGACACTCCACTGATTCTCTGTCCTTCCAACACCAAGCCCTAGATTTGGTGTTTCACATGACTTGGGGAGCAGCAATAGGTGGGGGGTGGCAGATGTGGGTGTCAGAAGGAACATGAAGAACAGCAAGGAAAAGAGGGGGTCTTGTGTCTAGAGGTGCCTGGCCAGCTCTGCCTCAGTCTCCCCGTAATCACGTGCATTGCTTCCTTGCAGGGGCTTACAGAAAGACTACCGAACTGACGTGGTGTTTGGAACGGATGTCCCCTGCTGGTTCGTGCACAACAGTGGGAAAGGCTTCATCGATGGGCATTACAAAGATTACTTCGTGCCGCAGCTCTACAGCTTTCTCAGACGCCCTTAAAAGTTTATAGTTTGGGAAATTATATATATATATAAATATACATTTTCCCCCTCACTTTTGCAGATATCCTTCGGTTTGAATAATTAAAACGAACCAGGTATCATTTATAAAGCCTGTAAACACAGCTGAAGAAAATAAACATTTTGCAAATGAGCTTTTAGGATTCGAGACCAGCCTGGGCAATGTAGTGAGACCCTGTCTCTAAAAATAAAAATATTAAAAACACATAAAACTGTCTAGTTCCACATTGCTGGTGGGGCTGTAAAATGGCACAGCCGCTCTGGAAGAGTCTGGCAGAATTGAGCTTCTGTCCACATAAAATCCTGTAAAGGGATGATCACGGCAGCATTATTCACAATAGTCAAAAAGTAGAAACAACCCAAATGTTTGTCAACTGACGAATGGATAAACAAAACACGGTACATCCATGCAGTGGAATATTACGAAGCCATCAAAAGAACTGAAGTACACCTACACACTACCACGTGGATAAGCCTTGAAAACGTTACGCTGCCTGGCGCGGTGGCTCACGCTTGTAATCCCAGCACTTTGGGAGGCTGAGGCGGGTGGATCACGAGGTCAAGAGATCGAGACCATCCTGGTCAACATGGTGAAACCCCGTCTCTACTAAAAGTACAAAAATTAGCTGGGCATGGTGGCGCATGCCTGTAGTCCCAGCTACTTGGGAGGCTGAGGCAGGAGAAATGCTTGAACCTGGGAGGCAGAGGTTGCGGTGAGCCGAGATCGTGCCATTGCACTCCAGCCTGGGTAACAAGAGCACAACTCCGTCTCAAAAAAAAAAAAAAAAGAAAGAAAGAAAACGTTACGCTAAGTGTAGGAAGCCAGTCATAAAAGATCACGTTATATGATTCCATTTATATGAAATGTCCAGAGAGGGCAAATCCACAGAGATGGAAAGTACATCAGTGGTTGCCTAGAGCTAGAGCAGAGGAAAAAAAACAGGGATTGACTAGGACAGGGTTTCATTTTGGGGTTTGAAACTGCTTTAAAATCAGACAGTGGGGATGGTTGCACAACTCTGCAAAAATACTAAAACCCACTGAACTGCATGTATGTTTTAAATGAGTGATCTGTATGGTATATCAATTATTACCATAATAAAGCTGCTTTTACAAATACAGTTTGACATTTAAAATTTAATTACACTTATAGTTCAACTTTACTACTCTACTACTGAAAATATAAATTTAGAGTGTATGAAGGATTTCCTCCAATTATATGATTCTAAATTGTCATATATAAAACACTTTACAACATTCTTTAATGAAGATATAAAATCATGAAGTAAATTACAAAGGAAACAAAAATAAGGACAAAATTACATAGTTTTGATACTTTGTGAGACATAATTAAATTTTTCTCAAAGTTTAGCTGAACAACTATACAGTAATATTTTCAAAAACCTGTTTCTTTTATACAAAAGAATACCCTAACACAGTAGAGTCTCATAATGCCTTGGTGAACACCAATTTGATGCTTTAAGATTTTAATGCATTGTTAACAAACTTTCAAACTCAGGCAAGCTTAGAAATGTCTTCATATTGAATTCCTTCAACTCTGCGTCCTTTTAAAGGGCCCTACAAATTAAAATAATTTAAGAGAAGGTTAAAAACACACATTCGTAAAAGACAAAAAAAATGACACCACGCTTATGGATACAAATTTGCCTTCTCCGTATCCCTAAAATACCATTAAGGTAGTTAACACTTCTATACATCTATGAATTTTAAGAATAATCTATGGCATTCTCCAGGAGGCTGAGACAGGAGAATTGCTTGAACCTGGGAGGTGGAGGTTGCAGTGAACCAAGACTGCGCAACGGCAAGACTTGGTCTCAGAAAAATAAAAAAGAATAATCTATGGCATTCTCATTAAGAACTACCATATTTTCTTCGTGACATCTGATATACATTATCAATAGATACTGTGGCAGAGACCTGCTAGCTGGTCAGTATCACCTCTGCTTCCTGGATAAATAGCTCATTTCCTAGCTCCTTTGTGGTTAGCTGTGGCCATGCATGGGGCTCCAGCCCATGGAAGCAAACAGAAGTGATGGCCTAGGCACGCTATCCCCAACACACCTTCTGCCAAGCTCCTTTTGCCTACCCAAAGCACACAGACCTGGCATCTGGAGATGCCACTTGAGGGCAGTAAAGCCACTAGTTGGAAGGTCTCTGGGTTCACAAACCACTACTGACTGTATTATCTCTACCACCTTAAATCCTTTATGAAAAAAAGGGAAGACATTTTAAAAAGTGGTTGACCTCTGGTTCCCTCCCTCTTGACAACGACTATACTTCCCCCACTAATTTTACTATGCCAAATTGAGTTTTAGATTTGATCTCAGGGAAAAAGAATATAAAACTGTACCTTAGAAAAGAGTTCCCTGATCAAAAATACCCACTTGGGTTTTTGAGAGTGAAACGTTAACTTCTCCCATGTTTGTGCCACTGTCCATTTGGGGTTTCCCTTTTTTTATAGGAAATATTCTTTTGTAAGCATTACAGATACTCAAACATGTCTGTCGAGGTTAGCTGTGACAGTTACACGGGTCTAGATTATAACAACAGTCTAAATTTATTTTCTTATTTCATATCCAACAAAAAGGGAAAGAAGAAAACTTAATTAATGAAAGATATTTTCTATCACAAAAGTAGATATAACCTGGGAACACAGAGACTAAGAATATGGGCTGTGGACCTATACTCCCCAAATTCAAATCTCACTTTCAACAACTGATTTAACCTCTCTGTCCTTCAGTTCTGTATCCCATTATCTCCCAGTGGGGATAATAGTAATGTCTCTATGATTGGGTTATTGGGAAATATAAAGGAGTTATTTCATATAAAGTGACTACACCTGGAATTTAATACAAGTGAGAGCTTGATAATTTTCAACTCTAATTATTATTTAATCTTTTGTTTAAAATTTGAGAGTTGGGCGGGGCACAGTGCTCATGTCTGCAATCCCAGAACTTTGGGAGGCCAAGGGAAGTGGATCACCTGAGGTCAGGAGTTCGAGACCAGCCTGACTAACATGGTGAAACCCCGTCTCTACTAAAAATATAAAAATTGGCTGGGCATGGTGGCAAGTGCTTGTAATCCTAGCTATTCAGGAGGCTGGAGCAGAAGAATTGCTTGAATTCGGAGGTGGAGGTTGCAGTGAGCTGAGATCACGCCATTGCACTCTAGCCTGGGCAAAAGAGCGAGGCTCTGTCTCAAAAATAAATAAGTAAATAAATAAAATTTGACAGTTAATCCTCTCCCTTGCAAAATATAACATGATGATGATGATAATGATGACAATGATGATGACTCTAACCCTGGACTGAGATTTTAACATTTTTTTACTGCTTCTCTTAACAACAAATAATTATCATATTTAAGGGAATTAACTTCCCAGATAAAGTATGACCTAGGTTGAATTTTTCATTATCATGTTTAATGGTCTATGGTCAATTACATTTTTCTGATAAGAACTATAAATCTGGAGAATAAGGGAGCCAGACACTTAGGTTTATAGGACAAATAGCTGAAAAGCTGAGGCTATTTAGAAACAATTTATTAGATGTTAAAAATTTGCTTAATAAATGTATAAATTTCAAATATTACCAATGACATAGAAACTTAAGATGCCAGAAATGATAAAAACAACCACTTGCAAAGTTCAAGTGACTCAGAAAAAAACACAGAAACATGAGACAGATACACGCACATACAGAGCTTTCTCTAAATTTTTATTTTTAATGAGGGCAGGCTGAAAAAAAGAAGAAAGAAATTAGGAGGTAGATTCCCTTCTTCTTTTTTTTTTTTTTTTCTTGAGACAGAGTCTTGCTATGTCACCCAGGCTGGAGTGCAGTGGTGCAATCTCAGCTCACTGCAACCTCCACCTCCTGGGTTCAAGTGATTATCCTGCCTCAGTCTCCCAAGCTGGGACTACAGCCATGCACCAACACGCCCAGCTAATTTTTGTATTTTTCATAGAGACAGGGTTTCTCCATGTTGGCCAGGCTGGTCTTGAACCCCTGACCTCAGGTAATTCGTCCATCTCAGCCTCCCAAAGTGCTGGGATTACAGGTGTGAGCCACCATGCCTGGCTGGTAGATTCCCTCTTCTAAAAGAAGTACCTGTTGCTTTGCAATCAAACAGAAAGGCTTTTCATGTGGACTTGCTCCTAGGTTCTACCTCAGTACAGAAGATGAAAGTGGGTCTACAGTGCAGAAGGTGAGAAACTAGCTCTTGATGAATGATACAACCTGCAAAGCAAAGGTATCGAGGTGGAACTTAACACAGCCTCAACAGTGATCAGCTGTTTCGTGTTTCCCTGAGATGAAAACATGAAACAGGATCTGCATGTGATAGTGCAATGAAATTAATAAGGCAAGTTTCATGTTTGGTCCATGCAAAAAAAAAAAAAAAGAAAGAAATTAATAAGGAAAGGATAAGCAAGTTGTCAAGGAAATAGTGGATTTTCTATTGCCTTATACTGATTGAGTCAGAGAAAATCTGACAGTTTTTTGTTAAAACTCAATCTGCTAATTTAGTCAGACTGACACATTCCTCAACGCCAACTAAGAGTCCTATTTTCCTTTTCTCCCCCTTAGTTTACATAGTGAATAACACTTAGCAAGTAACAGTTTCTAGATTAGCATTGCGAGGATCAGAATTCTCTGAAATAAGGACCTAAATGGTTTTTCCAGAAAACCTTCCTAGACACATATTTTGTAACAGGTCCATGGGTTTAGGGGGCCTATAAACTCCCCAAGAGAATAAATAAAATTTGGCAATTATGTGCAATGTTTTGAAGAGTCTAAAGTTTCATTAAACTCTCTAAGTATCTATGACTCCCAAGCTCCCCCAGAAATACTAAAACTGACTGTACTGGAGATGAAAAATTCTTTTGTTTAGCAGAAAGGAGACGCATTGTAGTAGCTCAGAGTTCTGAAAGGAATCTTTCTTTCCAAAGATATCTTGGGCCTCACTCATAGACCTGTCAGTGAAATATCAGTCCTAAGTCAATAAACAACTTTATTTATATGTCAGCGTTCTTTAAATTACTGTATTGATCTCTGCTACCCTCATATCCTTTATGAAAAAAGGAAAGACATTTTAAAAAGTGGTTGGCCTCTGTGGTTACCTCTCTCCTGACAGTGACTATACTTCCCATACCAACTTCACTATGCCACATTGAGTTTCATATTCGATATCAGGGGAAAAAAGGATACAAAACTGTACCTATTACACACACTTTCACAAAATACCAAGATTGGAAAGGAACAGACCAAATATTAGTGGGGTTTATTGTTGGGCTGGGGAATTATGGTTAATTTTTATAACTATTTATATTAAATTATGCTTTTCAGGTTTTATGCATCAGTACACATTTCTTTTGTAATCAGAAAATAAAATACTTTAGCAATGGCAGAGTCACTGGAGAAAATAAGCTTATGGATTTCCAAATAGTATAGAAGGCTAACAAAAAACTCACATTCTAAAATAAAGAACAATCCAGTTAAAAAGAATTACGGCACATTTTTAGAGCATTTTGAAATTTTTGTCTTTCTGTAAACAAACTTACAGTTTCAATGACTATAGTAGCTGAAAAAGTCTTCTCATTGATGGATTCTAGGGTACCTTCATTTCCTCTGTAGCCTCCATTTAAAACTAGAATTCTTTTTCCTACAATGGAAAAGAATACAAAACTTAACGCAAAGAAATATCTCCACTTTTCTTCTAACTTGTTACAGCAAAATGTACCACAGTGAATAAACATAATGAAAAACAAATCCCTTTTTCTTAGAAGTTCTCAATCATTTAAGAAGTGCGTAGTATTTTAGTGTGGTGTATGAATACTTGGACTACTTGAACATTGTAAGACTTCTCATTTTCCTCCCAATTGTCTGTTAAAGGAATATACATGTTTTACTTTTAGACTGCAAGGAATATAAGGTACTTGGAGAAAATGTTCAGAGTCCAGAAGTAATCACAGAAAATTTCGCAAATTTGTCTATTTGCAAAATTCCTAAGATGGTTTGGCAGTTTTATAAAAATTTAAACTTATGCCTACCGTGTGACTGAATCATTCTATGTAGCTACCCAAGAGAAAAGAAACCATATATCCACACAAAGCTCTGCACATGTATGTTCACAGCAGTTTTATTTTTAATATCCAAAAGCTGTAAATAAGCCAAATGTCTATCAACAGATGAGCAGATAAACAAGCTGGTACAGTAGTCCCCCCATCCCAGGTTTTGGTTACTCTCAGTCAACGTGGTCCGAAAATAGGTGTGTACAGTACAGTAAAACATTTTGAGAGAAAGAGGCCACATTCACATAACTTCTATTATAGTATATTATTATAATTGCTCTATTTTATTATTACTGTTCTCAGTCTTTTACTATGCCCTATTCATATTATTATAGGTATGTATATAGGAAAAAAATGGTACATATAGGGTTTGGTACTCTCCATGGTTTCAGGCATCCACTGGTGATCTTAGAAGGTATAGGATAAGGAGGGAATACTGCATATCCATACAATGACAAGAAAAACACAGCAAGAAAAAAGAATGAACTACAGATACACACAACCACATGGGTGAATCCAAAATAATTATGCTGAGTGAAAGCAGCCAAACCGGAAAACAGGACACATTTATATAAACTTAATTTATAGAAAAGTCTAGAAAAATATGAACTGAACCATAGTGACAGAAAGCATGGCAGCAGATGGCTAGGAAGACAGGGGACCCAGGAGCAGAAGGCAGGAGGGAGGAATTAGAGAGGGAAATGAGGGAATACATTCATCATCTTGATTGTAGTGATGGTTTTACGGAAGCAGGCACATGTGAAAGCTTACCAGATTGTATACTCTACATATGTGTGATTTATTGCACATCAATTACACCACAATACAGCTAACACAAATTTTTCTAATCTGTAAAAAGCATTTTTACTCTAGGGGGAAAAAGAATAAAGAATATGATAATTGGAAGTTCCAGAGACCAATGTTATCACTGCATTGGCAATGAGAACTCCAGGAAGATCTTGAATCAGAGGCAAACGACCTGGTCAAAGTAGTGTTTGTATTCAGATATGGATAATTTTCCAAAAAGCAAAGACACCAAGGGGAAAAAAGCAAAATAACACAGACTTTCACTTGACTATCACAGAGAGCTAAACAAATATATCACAGGTTTAACATTCCTAATCTGAAAATCCAAAATTTGAAAAGCTCCAAAATCTGAAACCTTGCTGATAACATACCACAAGTGGAAAATTCCACAGTTGATCTCTTGTGACAGGTCACTGTCAAGATGCAACCAAAATTATTTAAAATATTGTATAAAACTACCTTCAGGCTATGTGTATAGGTATATATAAAACATAAATGAGGCTGAGTACGGTGGCTCACACCTGTAATTCCAGCACTTTGGAAGGCTGAGGCGGATGAATCACTTGCGGTCAGGAGTTCAAGACCAGCCTGGCCAAAATGGTAAAACACCGGCTTTACTAAAAATACAAAAATTAGCTGCATGTGGTGGTACATGCCTGTAGTCCCAAATACTCAGAGGCTAAGGCAGGAGAATTGCTTGAACCTGGGAGGTGGAGGTTCCAGTGAGTCAAGATCATGCCACTGCACTCCAGCCTGGGTGACAGAGTGAAACTATGTCTCTAAATAAATAAATAAAAATAAAAATAAAATAAAACATAAATCAATTTTGTGTTAAGACTTGGATTCCATCCCCAAAATATCCAATTATATATACGCAAATATTCCAAAATCCAAAATTGGAAACGCTTCTGGTCCAAGGATTTCAGATGAGAGACTCTCAAGCTATAACCATAAGCGTAATGTAACAAATGTCATCCATATATGTCTATGTTTTGCCTCCGGAAGAAAAAAAAAGTATTTCAGGAAAAGAAGATACATTCACACCACAAAACAGCTTCATCAGAGAGCCGGTAAACTACGACACCCTTGAAGCCAAATAGAGATGAGTTACGCTAGTGGTTAATATTGCTGAAACAGAAAAATAACTACAACCATCAGTTTAAGAATGGAACCACTCATTTTAAAGGCATATGTATTAAACAGTCTGCAAACAGATTTACCTGGTGCTGGAATTACTGTCTCTAAATGAGTCTGGTCAAGTTTCAGCTTGTCTCCAGAATCAATCATCTTTACAACAGCTGTATATTTGTCAATTACTTCCTGTCATGTAAAATGAACACTTTTATAATTAAAGAAATATGTGCACAGTTAAAAGGACAAAAGTAAATGAAATGAAGACAAATAAAATACCAGTCAAAAGACAGGAGTAACTCCTTCTGTAAACGGCACAATTTTCTAGATTCCATATATGATTTCCAAGTCTATCGTTCTCAATAAAGAACTCAATTCAAAGCTTAGTTAAGGTTTTCATCTGGAAAGAATAACAGATCGGCGGTCCTAGAGTAAGACTTCAAGCAATCCAGCAAGAGGGGTAGTTTTGCCTAGCTTAATGTACAGGGGAAGAAGTGCAATTGAGCCAGGCACAAGCTGGGTGCTGGAATAAAATTAAATTTAGGAAAGGCAAAAAGGGAGAAAAGGCCTAGAATGTTGATACAAACTTTAAAATCCCAGAATAGGTCAGGTACGGCAGCTCACACCTGTAATTCCCAGCATTTTGGGAGGCTGCAGCGAGAGGTTCACCTGAGGTCAGGAGTTCGAGACCAGCCTGGCCAACTTGGTAAAACCCCATCTCTACTAAAAATGCAAAAATTAGTGGGGTGTGGTGGTGGGTGCCTGTAATCCCAGCTACTTGGGAGGCTGAGGCAGGAGAATCACTTGAACCCGGGAGGCAGCAGTTGCAATGACCTGAGATCCCGCCACTGCACTCCAGCCTAGGCAGCAAGCAGAGCCAGATCCTGTCTCAAAAATAAAAATAAATTAAATCCCAGAGTAGTCAAAAGATAGTCTCTCAGGCACAACACAAGAAGTCCTCTTGAGACCTCTGAGAGTATAATTATTAGGCTGGTGTAAAAGTTAATTGCTGTTTTTGCCATTACTTTTAATATATGGCCTATCATTAAAAATTAAAATACATTTTACTGACAAGCAAGGCATGTATGCTGAGGTTTTAAAGAGGTGTTGACAGGACTTCATACATACGATCTGTCCTAGTAAGAAAACAGACCAACGTTAAGTATAATACTATGGATGAAAAAGAAATATTTCTCCAACAATCATGAATACAGCTTCCATTTAATGGAATAATCAAGAATTTTAGACACAGTACTTCCCTACTAAGACTTGATTTTCAAGAAATACCAAAATAGCTTCACTCACTGACCCTAGCTTTTTTCACAAATTTCATTTGTAATTGCATGTCCTTACCTTTACAATACCCTTTTTCTTATGATATTTCTCTCCCAGTTTTTTGGTTATAATTTTCACAACAATTTCCTAGAAAATAAAAAGACAACAAAAAGATAAAAGGAAAGACAGAAATTATTGTTTATAATTTACTTCTTCCTTTTAAACTATGTTCACCAAAAACCAAAGGAAAATGTAACTGCTTTGCCAAAGAAGAAATGCTGGAGTTCTCTGCCTTCCCAACGATGGCAAACATTTCCTTAGCAATCTTTTATTCCTTCT